GCTGCTGGAATGCCCTGATTGGGGCATACTCACATCACGGCTATGGCCGCCAATCCCTCGATCTCGTGCTGAGGATGAAAATCGAGGGAGTCATGCCGGATCAACTGACCTTCATGTCGGCAATGTTTGCCTCGAGCCACACGGGACTGGTGGAACGAGGCCTGGAATGCTTCCTGGAGATGGAGGCCGAGCATGGGATTGTCCCAAGCCCCGAGCACTGCCGCTGCTTGATTGATCTCCTGGGCCGCGCCGGCCAGATCGAGGGGGCGGAAGCGATGCTTGAGGAGGATCCGTGTGAGATGGAGTGGAGTATTCTCGTGGGCGCCCGCAAGAACCTGGCCGACGAAGAAGCCCTAACCTAGGTACCCTAAAACGCGGAAAAAAGATACGAATATTCACATATGAAAACCTTACAAGGAAAGTTATTTGTAGAACTGGTAATGCGAAGCCTTGAGGAGAATGTTTCGAAGCCCACCAGCTGTGGAAGCGATTGTAAGAAAGAAGCCTACTCCTATGCAAGCCTGAAAAGTTTATAAAATCAAAGGTGGAAAATCTACTTATTCAATTTTACCATGTTCGCTAGCCATGGCAATCCCAATGTTCTGGGCTTGCGAAGAATTTGCCAGATGATACAAGGTAGCTGCAACCAAGAAGAACATCTCTTTGTAAATAGCAATTTCCTCAAGTTCAAAAGTACCAGGAATGTTGTTGGGACGAAGGCTATTCCCCCAACAAAAGCGAGCAAATCGTCAAAGAAAGGAAATGTCACAGCAAGAAAGCATGTAAATGCTGCAAAAAAATATTTTTTTTTAAAAAAAAACCTTCAGATTTGAAGCTAAGAAGAAGTTACTTACCAACGTAAATTGATCGAACAAGTAATCTAAGATTGATCCCTCCATTAACCTTCCACAGGTTTGTGAGAAGCATTTCCACATTGTCAAACAGCGGCATTGCGAAGATCTGAAAATCCAAAACTATGAAAACCAAGAAGTTCGATCTTTAAGAAAAGAAATGGCTAACCTGAAAGCCACCACACATATGCGTCACCACCATTGCATTTCCTAGTGCGACGAGCCAAACAGGCTTGTCCAGAATCTCAAGGACGTGCATGTCATGGTTCTTTTGATTCCCAAAAACGTAATACCCGACCAGGGCATTTGGGAAATAACACAAGATGGTCATCGTGTAGGCCAGGAGAGCTCCATTCCAGGCCGAGATCTTGGAGGGTCTCTCAATGGTGGAAGGAATAGTGGCCTGGATCTCAAGAACGATATTGTGTCCCGCAAATGCAAACGAGATCTGGCCCAGCGAGCTAAACACCCTGAAAATAACATCCGCAGTAGAAGTTGCTTTTGGAAATTCATAGCTGACTGTGGGGCTTCGTTCACGCATTAAGGTGGCGACCCAAGCAATTGTGGAGTAGCTGTTCTTGCATGATAAAATCAAAATCAAGAGAAAAGTTGACAAAAAACTTTGAAATCTACGTACCCGAGAGACATGAAAGCGGCAATAATCGAAACCCAGGTGATGGAGGTGAAATGTGGAAGCTGCGAGAGGAGAAGCTGGACTGATGCAAACGCCATGATGCAATATCGCAGCTCCCAGTTACATGAAGAGTCTTGAATTGGGCAACCATAGAGAAGGCTGTGGATCTTCCGGATGGATTTTCCAGCGGTGAGGAGGTAGACGGTGTCGACACCGATCTCGACGAGCATTTGCATGGGTACCACAATCCAGAGCCCGAGCTTCTTTCCGAAAGCCCTCTGGCCCAGCTCATGGTATCTGTCCATGCGTTTCCCATCGAGCTCGTGGAGCTCGATCATTTGCCACATTGTGCTGAGACTTATGACGCCGATAACGCACAGCACGAAAATCCCTGGAGCCCTGGAAAACCAAGGAGGTCTTTGTTAAATGGCACTAAATAGTATTCACAAGTAAAAATATGTTACCAGCTTAAGTCGACCATAGCTGCGTGGAGCGAAAGAACTCCAGCTCCAATCACGGCAGTGATGTTGTGGACCGCCGCATACCACCATTTGGAGGTCCAGGAATCGTTGATCGATAGCCATGACCGCCACACTTCCTGCCACAAACCACAGCCAATCTCTCACACAAACTTGGAGAAAAACTAGAACAACAGGCATCTCTAACAAAGACGAAGAACAATCACTTGCCTGGAAACAGGGACGTGAAGGGCTAACTGGGATCGAGTCCGTGCTAAACCCAACTTCCCTCTGGCATTTGGCATTGAAGACCAGAAGTGAGAAAAACAAGAGAGAAATTTGGGGACAAGGACCTTCAAGAGATCGTTGGTGCTACTCCCATTTTCTATTGACAAGGCGGCGCCGTCGAGAGGGTCCTCCATAGCCAAGCGGCAGTGTCGATACTTCCTAGCGAAGGAAGGGCGGAGACCATTTTCTTTCACCTAGAGTCGGCAAAGAGAAAATTCCACGCTTAAAATCCATATTCTATCATGAAGCCTATTTCTTTCTCCGGATTCATCGAAAGATTGTTTGACTCCCTCCCGTGAACATCCAGAGTTTTCTTATACGCGGCACATCATCCTTGACTTCCACAGTATTTTGTCGACACTGCACTATTGCTTATCATTGGTATAGATTCCTTGAAACATAAAAGAAGAAAAAGAAGAAAAATCATTTACCATTTTGTTCCAGGAAACTTTGAAGATCAAGCAGTTCACCACCTTCGCCTGTTGTGATCTCCTTGGTTCCGTCCGGGAGCTTGACGCTTGTTCTCATTCGGGAAGAAACTCTTAGTGGCAATATAACGGGGCCTTGGATTGTTCCATCCCGGCGGAGGAGGGCAGTTCGGCTCCACTGGTCTTCGCAGCATATAGAGCTCCTCTTTCGAGTAGCGTACCACATGATACCCTTTCTTCTCGCTTGAGACAATGGCCTGCTTGAGAAGCTTGATCATGTTCCACTTCCATCCAGCGGGATCAACTGGAAACCCAAAGATCCGGAGGAAAACATCGTATGCCTTGACGCTGTAGATGTCCTTGATGGTCTGGAGAAGCTGCGAGCTCATCTCGCCCGATGGGAACCCGTACCTCTGGTCGAAGTTCGTTGATCTCGTCATACGGAAGAAGCAAATCTGGAACATCACCAGCCTGAGGCCGTCGGCATTTGCCTCAAACGTGTGCTGGAGACGGACCTCCGAGGGGAAGTTGTCCGGCTCCACGTACGCGAGGTATGGCTTCTTCTGCAGGGCCCAGAGGGTGTTCCTGGTGAGAATCTCGCCCAAGAACAGCCCGCATACTTTGTCCCACTCCACGGCATTGGGAGCTACCAGCAAATACGTTAAGAACTCGCCCAGGTCGGGGACGTGATCCTTGCCGCGACACTCGATATTGGAGATGAACGCGTCAACCTTGCGCTGAATTTCCCGTCTCAGGTAATGGTGCTCCCGCACCAGCTTGGAGAAGAGGTGGAACAGCAGGCAGTAGCCTTGTAGTGCCTTCTCCGAAGCGTGGACAACTGTGTGGTTGCTGAGCTCGCTCTTCTGCCGATCGCAAGACTGGACGAGCGTGAAAACCATGGTGTTCATCAGCGCAGGCAGCGTCTGGAGAACCACCGAAATTGGCGCTGCCGAGGCCGTCGGTTTCCTGGGAAAGCTGAGAGCAAGGCTCTTGAGCGAGTCGTCTATCAGCGGTCTGGCACGCTGGAAGTGATCCTCGTCCAGAACCAGCGGGAGGAAGTAATCAAAATCCTCGCCCGTGATGCCCTTCCTCACGCCATGGCTCTTAAACGCCTCGTATGACAAGAGATCAACCGCTGCCACAAAGGGCTTTCCACCGCCGGCCGGGCACGACACTCCAATCCCCAGGACCGTGTCGCTCTCCTTGAAAGTCTTGCGCAGAAAGAAGCAAACCAGCTGCCGGCGCAGCAGCAAGTTCTCCGAGTTGATGAGCTCTTTCACGCCGCTGTAGACCCGAGTCAGCCGTATGGCATCCTGGTCTGAGAGCCTGTCCACGATCTCGAGGCAGCAATCAGCGTCCAGCCTCTCGAAAAGGTTGGGACTCTCCACCAGAGAGAGATGATCATCAAACTCACCTTCAATCATAGCCGGACTAGTGACAGAAGTCGACTCTGGAGCGCTCTTCACACCAGGAAAAGCAACGTTGAATCCACAGTTAGCACACGAGTAGCGCTTCACCCAATCCAATGGATCCAAGGGGTCAAAGCTATGTTCCCTTTGGGAATAGCTCTCCAGCTCCACTGCCTTGCCACCATAGTCCTGCTGCACAAACTTGCTACTAAAGAAGCTGAGAAGCTGGAGAAAGAGGTACTTGAGCAAGTAGCCCGGGGTGTAACCGCCATTGTAGATTTGCCAATGACCGCCCTGAGGATTGTAGTCATACCTCGTGGAAACCGGCTTGAGGATGTCGCAGCAGATGAAGGAGCCGAAGACGTTGGGGTGTCGGACGGGCGTCTGGATGGTAACCTGCGGAGGGCCGTGAGGATAGTCAGCTGGTATGCGGACGTCGAGGTGGAGGTTGACGCCCGCGTAGGGGCCGCTGAGCGGCGAGAGGACGAGGCACATATGGTCGAGCTGGTCGGCATAGGTGCAAACCTGGATGCCCTGGAGCGGCTCCTTGGTCAGCTCCGTGAGGTCGCGCTGGACTCGGACTTGCCATGACTTGGTGCTCATTGAAACCCGGCTACATCCTTGGCCCCGCCGGCTTAAGTATCCAGGATTTCCCTGTCCTCCAAGGATGCAATGTTCTATCTTTAAGTTAGCACGATCCAATTTGGATTTTAATTGCTGCAAAAAGTTTTAGAAGAATGACCAGAAGTTGCCCAGCAAGAGAGGAGTTTTGAAAGAAAACAAAAATTATTTGTTCGCTCAAACATAATGCAAGTCAACATAGTCAATGCAAAAGTTCAAGACTGTTGACTTAGTACCTTGATGATTCTCATCCGGAATGTGGGAGGGCATTCTGGTCCGGAATGGCGAGCATGTGTGATAGCCGTGGAGGGCATTCCACCAATCGCTACACACGGGGATGATTTTGAGTTCTTCAGGATTGCCGCCGCCATGGCAGCAGCCGGCGATCTCCTGCCGGCATTGCTCGATCGTGTGCGGCGCTTCCTCGTCTCTCGCAGGTCCAGGCCCGGAGAAGAAGGAAGTGGTGCTGATTGGAGGGACTGGCCGCGTCGGGAGCTCCACAGCGCGAGCGCTTGCAAGGGTGTGGCCGGATCTCCAGCTCGTTCTCGCTGGACGAAACAGGTATGGATCGGTGATATTGAGGGGCTAGGAATGTGGATTGCCAATGCCAGGGAGAGAGGAGAGGGAATAGCGTCCGAGATTGGGGCTGGAACGAAATTTCGAGCTGTGGATATAGAGGATTTAAACTCGGTGGCACAAGCTATAGAAGGTGAGAGTTTTTTCTTGTTTTGCTTTTGGTCGTTTGTGTGTTTGTGTGTTTGTGTAATTTTTCTCTGAGCTAAATGACTTTGATCCAGGTGCGAAGCTGGTGATCCATTCCGCTGGGCCATTTCAACGCAAAAATCGTTGCACAGTATTGGAGGCCGCCATCGAGACAAAGGTAAGAAAGCGTCCATAGAACTTTGGAGACATATTTACGTGTGTGCTATTATCCAGGTTCCATATATTGATGTCTGCGATGATCTAACTCACGCTCAACTTGCAAAGTCCCTTCACAACAAGGCAGTAGAAGCTGGCGTTCCTGCGATTATCACCACGGGGCTATATCCTGGAGTGAGCAACAGTTCGTTCAGAGAATCTCACATTCCATATGCAAGCATCTAATTGTCTCGCTAAGTTTGGATTTACTGCAGTTATGGCCGCTGAGCTTGTTCGGCTTGCTAGAGAGAGTTCGGCTGGAAGCAGACCTCGAGAGCTAAGGTAAAAAGCTTGGCTCAAAACATTAGAATAAGATAATGCTGCTGAGTTACACTGAACTAAAAACAGGCTGCCAGGTTCTCTTACTTCACCGCGGGATCTGGTGGTGTTGGTCCTACGATTCTTGCAACAAGTTTCTTACTGCTCAGCGAGCAAGTCTTAACGTATAGCAAAGGTTATGTTCTCGTACTGTTGCTTCCAGCATCTCAAAGTTGTCTTTGAATGCACAGGAAAAGTTGTAAAGCTGGACCCGTTTAGTGGGGAGAGGATAGTAGATTTTGGGAAAGCGGTCGGCAAACGTTCCGTATTCTTGATGTAAGTCCATGCAAACAACTTGTGCTTTTGACAGCTTTGTTTTTGCTAGCCAGAAACCTTCCTGAAGTCGTGACAGCGTTTGAGAATTTGAAAGTTCCTACCATAACTGCTCGCTTCGGTACCGCTCCCTTCTTCTGGAACTGGATTATGGGCGCGATTGCAGGACGGGTATTGAGAACTTAATGTATGGCCTTTCTTTTAGTTCTACTGAGAAAGTATGCAGGATTTTCTGAAAGATGATTCCAAAGTACAATCCCTGGCTAAGATTTCAGCTTTTGCAGTACGAATAATTGATCGTTTAGTTGGAGCAAAAGTCTCAATGCGGGTAAAGTTCTAACTTCCCGGACATTATCCTGTAAGTTTGACGGCAAGACATGCAGGTAGACTTGAGCTGCACGGATGGGAAACGAGCTGTTGGACTGTATACTCATCGCAATCTATCCGTGTAAGCAACATTTCCCTCTCCTTACTTTTCTCTCAATTCCATGCTGTTTCATTTTCAGATGCGTTGGTTCGGCTACTGCAGCCTTCGCAGCACCAGTTTTACAAGGCAAAACTCGACCTGGAGTCTGGTTCCCTGAACAGGCAATATCCTTTGCTCATTTCTCTTTTGTATTCTATCACTAGACAGCTTTTCATTCAGGACGAGGCCATTCCTTTTCAGTATCGAGGACAACTCCTCCAGCAGGCGTCAAAAGGAACATCGAGTTTCGTGATGAACAGGTAAGCTATCAGAACGAGAAAATGAGCTTTCTCGTGCTGATGTTACATCGCTGTGCAGGTCACCTTGGATGGTGGAGGGAGATCCTAAAGAGATAGGCTTCGGCATATATCTCGAATGAGACGTCTGAATCTCGTGTTACACATTATTCGGCTCCACAAAGCATTTCAGCTCACAATTGTTGTTCGAAGATAGTGACGTTGATGTCTCACTCCTTACATGAGGAGCCCCGGGACTTCGTGTTAGCAAAGGAAAATGGCAGCTTTTCAGCGACAAGTTTCTCGGTTTGGATTGCCAACGATTTCATCGACAATCTCGAAAAGTTCTGCCCAACTTACAGACACTAAGAGCAAGAGAGTGGTGTTGATAGGAGGCACCGGGCGTGTTGGGAGCTCCATTGCTCGCTCGCTGGCCAAGACTTCTCCGAAACTCAGCCTTGTCCTTGCTGGAAGGAACAGGTACGTGTCTAAAATTGAAGCTCGAGCGAGCTCGTTGAAAAATGAACTTTCAGGGAGAAGGGCGAAGGACTAGCGTCCGAGATTGGAGTTGGAACAACGTTTCAGAGTGTGGACATCGATGATTTCGAGTCGATAACAAGCGCTCTTGATGGTAGTACTATGGTGCACTTTTCGTGTGTGTTTCACGTCGTTCAGGTGCTGATCTGGTAATTCATTCGGCTGGCCCCTTCCAATCCCGGAAGCGCTGCACTGTTTTAGAAGCTGCAATCGAGAAGAAGGTGAGGCAAGTGGAACAAACTCTTGAGCTCATTTTGTGTTGCGCAGATTTCATATATTGATATCTGCGATGATTTATCCCACGCTCGGCTCGCCAAATCCTTTCACGACAAAGCAGTCGAAGCTGGTGTTTCGGCAATCGTCATGTCTGGACTTTGTCCGGGAGTGAGCAATAGTACACTGCAAGTTTTTCTCAGATGGTTGCTCACATGCTCCTCTTGCAGTAATGGCAGCAGAGCTTGTTCGGATGGCTCAAGAAAATGCGAGCAAACCAGAAGAACTGAAGTATGTTCATTTTGTTTCTTCTTCCTTGACTTCGATCACGTGCAGATTTTCTTACTTTATTGCAGGGTCCGGCGGCGCGGGTCCGACTGTTTTAGCCACAAGTCTTCTGCTTTTAAACCAAAATGTGTCAGTTTACAGTCAAGGTAGTCAACCTGCTTGATTTTCAGACTGCAAAACATTTTTAAGCAGGAAAGCTGTTGAAGCTAAAGCCATACACTGATGAGACAAAAGTGGATTTTGGAGATGGAGTTGGCAAACGTTCTGTATTTTGCATGTAAGTCTGCATCTCTATCGTGCAAAACTTTCTGAAGAAGAACGAATTTCTACTTTTTTTATTTCTTCTCAGAAATCTTCCCGAAGTTACTACGGCTCATGAGATTCTAAACATTCCAAACGTAACAGCGAAATTTGGTACCGCTCCCTTCTTCTGGAACTGGCTAATGAGCCAAATTGCGGGAATGGTGAGCACTCTTTCTTCACGAATATGTTATTTCTTTTTTACCAGGAATTTCTCGAAGACTACTCCAAAGTGGAGAGCTTTGCAAGATTGTCCGATCCAGCAGTCAGAGCCATTGATGTTCTTGTGGGAGGAAAGGTTTCGATGCGAGTAAGAAAGACGTGGCTGCTTTTATTCATTATATCTTGGATCTCAAGCTTGCTTCTTTGGTCTACCCGTCACAGGTGGACTTGGATTGCAAAGACGGCACGAGATCTACTGGACTATACACGCATCCAGATCTTTCAGTGTTAAGTAACGTTCCGCATTTGCGCGATCTAAGAACTCATTTAAGCTTCTGGAAAATCTCCAGGTGCGCAGGAGCAGCAACGGCAGCGTTTGTAGTTCCCATCTTGCAAGGCAAAACACTGCCTGGAGTCTGGTTTCCCGAGCAAGTAAGTAGGGGTGTGCTTGCACAGTGAAAAGCTCAAGAAAAGTTTGTCTGGCAGAGAGAAGGGATCCCCATAGAATGCAGGGAAGGCCTTTTGGAGAAGGCATCCACAGGGACGTCAAGATATGCAATGATAGTAAGCTATTATCATTTACATTGAAGGTTTCGTGATTCTAAAAGGCTAATCAAAGCGATACACCATAGCAAAGAGTGGATGGAAATTTAACATCAATCACATTCAACATCTATCATTGAATGGACGCTTTTGCAAAGTAGGCAATCTCAAGCTAAGTTGTGGAGGTCGTAGCTCCGTCCTTGGGATCTGGACTGAGCCTCTTGAATTCCTCCATAGCTTCCTGATACTTTAGCTTCTCAACGCCTGCTTGATTGACGTAAGGCTGCTTCTCCTCGGCGCCCATCTCCTGCCACAATCAAAGAAGTGAGTTCTTGCCTGAATGAATTCAAAGCTCTTTTCCAACTTACGTTCCATTTGCTCGCAACGAGCGCAGTGAGCTCTGCGAACTTCGCTGTTGGCATCTCGGCCTGTAACTTCTTCCGGTATTCCATTCTAAATGTGAAGGTTTGAGACGTGGAACTACAACACAAAATTCTCTTACCCAAACAGGATGTAAGCCGTCGCCGCCTTCTTCGGTTTTCCTGGCTCGGCTGTCTTGGCTTTAGCTTTGCGTGGTGCTTTCTCCGCTTTCATTGCCTGCAGAGATTACTTAACTATATCAACACGCAGAGAGGAAGAGAAACAGAACCTTCTTAACTTCGTCTTCCTTCTCTTTCTGCTTCAGCAGCTCCAAACCACAGACCTTGTCTCTTTTCGCCTTCTCTTTCAGAGCTTGCTCTGCGACAACTTCCTCCTGGAGTCAAAGGAGGTTCAAGTTCTAGAAAGCATGAGCAAAACGTGCCTTACCTGGGCTTTTTTCTTATTGTAAGCCTCCATTTCAGTGAGGTATGTAGCCTTTGCGTCAGTAGCAATCTAGAGAAAAACACAGGAAGGTTTAACTGGAATGGTGAAAGCGAAGTACCTTCTCATAAGGTGCACGTGCTTTTTCATCCATGCTTCGCCATTCTTCGCCAAGTATTTTTCCTATCTGTGAAACATGATAATAAATCGACAAGACCAGCAGAACAAAAAATGTGCTGACCTGTGGGACCTTGAGATTCTCATTCATCAAAGCGGGCCTTCGTTCCTCTGAGTAAGCCATGTAGCCAGTCGTGGGCCTTTTTGGCTTTTCCGGGTCCTTCTCCTTCCTGAAAGAGCAGTATAAGAGCGAATTTTGTGCATCGAACTAAGACAAGTTACTTTTTTGGTTTCGCCTGGGCTTGGATTTCCTGAAACAATCAAGAACAAACAATGTTATCCATCAGCTAAAGAACAAACCACTAGATATCAAACCTTTTTATATTCCATAAATTGGTCCAGAATTTCCTTCGAAAGCTTTCTGTTTTTCTCGTCTTGTAGAAGCTTAAGTGCCTCGGCTTCTCTCTTCTCCTTGCCGACAAGCTGCTTATAGAAAGTACTGGTTAGAATCTAAGACTTGGATTAAGATATACCACCTTCAGGTACTCTTCTTTGTTCTTCTGGTAAATCTCTTCGTATGGCTTCTTCTCCTCCTCCGAAACAGATTTCCAGAGCTCGCCAAAAATGGAGCTCAGCTCTTTAATACCAGCGTTGGGATTTTGCGCGCGCACCTGAGACCAAAGCATCAGCGGATGGAATTTCACCCGAAAATATTGCTTCCAAACCTTCTCACGCTGATCGTTACACCAAAGAAAGTACGAACTAAGAGGCTTTTTAATTCTCTCGGGGTCATTTTTCTTCTTCTTTCCCTTCGAATCGTCGGAGGACTCGTCTGGCAAAGGGATGCTCTACAAAAGCGACGGGGCTGAAGTTAGAACGATGGCAAAAAAGAATCAAACGGAAAAAAAAAAAAAAAAAAAGCAAACCAAACTTACAAGATTTGGCTGGAACTCCTTGACCTTCTCGAGCTTCCTAATCTTCTCCTGGAGCTTCTCATGCTCCTTGCTTTGCATCGCGATGCGATCGTGCTGCTCCTTGATCTTGGCGCCCTGCTCCAGGACGAGTTTCTGGACTTCCTCCTTCTCAAGCCTCATCTTGTTGAGCTTCTGGGTCATCGTCTCCAGCTCCTCCTCCCAGTTCCTGGCACTCTTAAGCCCCTTTCCAGCCGCCCTCATGGGCGGAGACACCGGCACTGGAGCCCCAGCTCCCTCGGCCACATTTTCCTTGTTGGACTCCATCGCCGGAGCTGGAGCTTGGGCGGCTGCCGCTGCTGCCGCGGCTTTCCTGCGGGTAGGCATCTCTCCTGCGCGGCACAGGCACAGATTTTTACACCGATGTGAAAATGGGAAAGGGAACACCTGGGAGAACTATCGGGCAGAACGGTCCTTACCTAAGATCAAACGCCGCAAGAATGGATCCCGCCGCTCGCACGCCGCTTTCTTCCACCAAGGGTTTTATGGTTCTTTGGGCTGGATATAAACGGTCAGATCCTTTTCCCGGTAAAACCGAGCATTTCAAAAACAGTATAGTTTACTTTATAGTTTGGGCGGTAAATTTGAACTACAGCCAAGAATTTTTCTGCCAAAGCCTTCTTACTTAAACTCTTAAACTCTTTCAGGAATAAAATTTTTCATTCATCACACAAGATTTACTGATAGAGATTTGTTGATGAAATTTTTGTGTTTACCACCAAAAATTGCAAGTGGTGACATGACTATTTAACAAAACTAATGTGTCCAACTTCAAATGTCTGTCCAAAATTAGCAAATTCACTAAAATGACTTATCTTTTTCTATGTACTAAATGTGAAGAAGTGGTTCAATTTAATGTTATATAATAACCCTTAGTATATTGTAAGTTTCTCTTATTGTTTATGATGCAAATTTCTCATATTATTCAGAATAAATTACTACACCTAAACATGTTTATAGATTATAAATACAAGATTAATCTAAATGAATAACAACCGTTAGATAGTATAATATTTTAAGTATATCCATTGCTTAAGCAAACTAACTAAATACAACTTACCATCATGAAACCAATGACATTGATAAAAAATAAAGTTTAATTAGTTCAGTATAACTTTGTAGATAACTTCTAGAGCTTAGCCTACTTATTAGAACTTCAAACAAAAATTTCTATCTATCTATCTATTTTTTAGTAGTCTTGTGATGCTTAACAACAAATATAAAACTTTAAATAAGTTTGGAAGTTTATTGTGAGGGTCTTCTAATTCCCTCAATTATATATCTTGGCTTATCTAATAAAAGCCCTTGGAATGAATGTGAACTAAGATAAAATATTCAACATGTAATAGATGTCGAATTGTAGAAAATGCAATACACTAAAGAATTCCAATTTGTGTAAGAAAAGCGTACCTAAATAGGATAACCCAAATAACAGAGAATCCTAATATAAACTTCTCTAACTAAAATCATTATCACTTCTGCAAATACCAATTTCTCATAAAGAAAAAAAGAAATTTAAACAAAAGGGAAAAAACACAAGAAGTTATGAAAATCACTTGGAAGGATTTGGATATAAGATGTCATTTATAAATAATGGGAATAAGAAAAGAAAATAAACTTTAAACTTGTAGTACATGTGGTTTTACCATTTATCTTATGGTAATTTACTATATGATAATCATGAAATAGAACCTAACCCTTCATGTGCCACATGTTATATGCCACATGCCATATGCCATATATCCAAAGGATAATGATGCAGAATAAGTTTCAAAGCCTTGGGCCACTTAACGAAAGAATAGAGCCAAACTCCTAAATATGTAGCCAAAGAGTGAAGGAACTAAAACATAGAGTGACTCCTAAATGTTTAACCCAAGGAACGAAAGGACAAAAGTATGGAGCAACTTAGAACAGTCCTAGAGTATCCAACATCTCAATGCTAGGATCAACACGTAAAAGGAGCCAAATGGAGTTTGGCACTATTTTAGTATACCAATGGCATAATATGAGGATATGGGTATTCCACCAACTAATATGGTATGAAACTGAAGCATGAATATGGGTATATGGGTATTTTGCATCCAACCTGAGTTCGAGATGGAGCCCGAGTCTGACTCTGACATGGTGCATACGGGGAGGAGCCCAGCAGCCCGCACATGCACTAGAACTCCAGCTAGGGATGTGGAGCCGAGCACCCAAGGTAGACCCAAGTTGGATGCAGAGCAAAGACAGACATGCAAGTCGAAACTAGATTATGCCTCAGATTGGTCAACCATGCTCAACATTCCCACTATCTCTATTATACATTTGGAACCCCCCATATCCCCCCCCCCCTTAAAGAACACATGCTTTGGGCTTTCACCCCAAGCCTCCTTTAATACCAAGAGTTAGTCTTTGAAACAAGTTTGAAATTTATTAAATATGGAATGTTCCTAAATTGTAAATTTGGACATTTGGAATTATATTCAAGATAATCTCTACATTCCATAAATATGCCAAATGAGCAAATCTAAACACTTTTTATAAATACAATTAGAAATATATAGGAGTTTCTACCTTATATCCATTTATCTAAGTATAGGTGCTAAGTCTAATTTACTAACATTTGAATAAGAAGGGCTAATAACTGGAACTAGCAATACTGAACTCTTGTTGTTGTGGCAGTAAAGAAAGAATATCCAAAAGGACTAACCAACAAGTAATTTTCGATACCCGAAGTCACATTTATGACAAAACCTCAAAATCTCTCAAAATGAATATATTTTGATAAAAATCTTTTAAATTTGGCCACCAATTTAAATGTGGATAGACTCTGTCGCGCATGTGACTTCGGGTATCGAAAGTTACCTGTCGGCTAGTCCTTACGGACACTCTTACCTTACTGCCACGATGGCAGGAGGTTGGTATTGCTGGACCCGTTATCAGTTCCCACTTGAACTAGTTGAGAAACTGGTCAATGAACATGCACTTAGATTGGATAAACATAAGGTAGGAACCCTATGTGTTTCTTGCTGAGCATACTCGGCCTGGTTTGAGAAACTTGTGTCATTGGCTTGCACTTGCTAGTATCAAGAACCCCCGCGATATTGAGATTGGTCCCTCAACATCGCTAGATGATAACTTACCGTGTCTGCCAAACACCCTCGCTATCATGCCCTTTGTGTTAGTCTTAATTCGTCCCAAATGCTATTTATGGAAAGTGTCCAGATTTGCTCATTTGGCATATCTACGGAATGTAGAGATCGTCCTAAACACAATGGTGTTCGTCCTGTGTCCAAATTCGCAATCTAGGGACATTCCATAATTAGTAAGTTTCGAGCTTGTCCCAGAGACTAACTCCTGATACTAAGGGAGGCTTGGGGTGAAAGCCCAAAGCGTGTGTTCCTCAAGGGGGGGGGGGTTATGGGGGGTTCCAAATGTATAGTAGGGATAGTGGGTAGGTCGGGCATGGCCGACCAACCTGAGGCATAGTCTAGCTCCCGCTTGCGTGCCTGTCCTTGTTCTGCGTCCGGCTTGGGTCTAAGCCCAAGTTCCATTCCATGCTAGTTGGTGGAGTACCCATATCCTCGCGTTAGGCCACCGGTATGCCGAAATAGCGCCAGACTCCGTTTGGCTCCGTTTTGCGTGCTGGTCCTGGCATTGGGATGCTGGTTGCTCTAGGACTGTTCCAAGTCGCTCCGGGCCCCTGTCCCTTCGCTCCTTGGGCTATATGCTCGGGAGTTGCTCCGTGGTTCGGTTCCATCACTCCTTGGCTCCACGCTTAGGAGTTTGGCACCGTTCGTTCGTTCAGTGGCCCAAAGCCCTGAACCTCAAGTTCCTATGGACACGTGGCATGGACACGTGGCATGTGACACGTGGCATCTGTCACGTGGCACAAAGAGGGTTTAGGTTCCGCTTCGTGGTGTTATCCTATGGTAAATCACCATAGGATAAAGGGTCAAAACCACGTGCGCTACATTTGGTATCAGAGGATGAGTCTCAGCGAGTACTATTCAATGAGATTGGGCAACTAGTCTTGTTGCATACGCAGAGATGAAAACGATGATCCGAGTGGGTACACGTTTGGGTGCAAAGGCTTCGCAATTGGTTCCTTGGGTATGGATATTGTTACCTTGTTGTACCTTATGATGTGAGCTTGCGCTTGGGCTCATAGGATGGTTTGGAGATGTTCTGTTTGCACGAGTTTGAGCTTGAGCTCGTGAGTGAGGCACATTAGCAACTCGAGGTTACACTTTGAGTTGGCAGGATTAATGTTAGCCTATCGTTGGTTCCATAAGTTGTTCTAGTGGTTCCGTGAGTTGTTCCTTGTACCATAGGTGAAAAGCAAACCTCCCTGGGTTTGCTGTGAGTGGCAAATAGGCTGGTCCATAGCTGTTTAGCACGGCACTAGTGGATCCTTCCTAGGCATGATTATAAGTGGATCAATCAAGACTGTAGGGAATAGTCTATTGGTTCAAGTAATCATTGCCGTGCTCTCTCATAAACTTTTCTTGGATTGAATTGAAGGCAGTGCGAAAGCAAGCTTGAGGTTTGGTCAAAGATGAGACCGAAAAGAGAGTCATCGGGGACGGAGGATCAAATACGTAAATCATTTTCTCTTCTTGGAGAGATGATTTGCAACGAGGTGTTAACTCATTGCTTGTATTCACATCATGCAATCAAGAGTCCCTATCTTGATGCATGTTGGAGATGGTGGTCTTACAATGGTGGGTTGTGGGATGGATAGTGGTGAAGTGCTATACCATTTTGTCTAAGCTTGCTATTGGAAGACTTGGGTTGCGATGCTTAATTCTTTTCCGGGGAACCTTGCTATTGCTCCTTGAGTAGTTTGGTGTTGGATTAGTTTTGAGATTGGTCGGAAAGAGAGTGGCATGAGCTTGTCCGTGTTGTGAACAAAAGTTAGTGGTGTTGGGTGTCGTAAACCTCTATTGGTGGAGTGTGGCATTTATGTTGCATTTTGTCGAATCGAGTTGGCATTTGATATTCACATGAACGTTTGAAGTAATGACATAAGCCTTGCTCATTGCGTTACTCAATTGATGATCAAGTCATTGTGATTTATATCATATCCATGTGATAATGAGCAATGTGTTTACGAAGTTACTTGGGTAAATGATGATCAACCCCAAAGTGGTTGATGGAGAAGCTAGTCTACTTGCACGAAGTAGCATTGTAGTAGCTTTGACTGGATTCTCAATGGTGGTCCATTATGCTAAGCTTAAGTTGGTACCTTGTTTCCTTGAGGGTTTGCCCATAAGGTATTGGGAATGGGTTGTAGCATTCATTTGCTATAGCTCATCTATTGATCCGTTAGCACTTGGAGTAGATTATTGGATGGAGAAGGTGTGAGGTTGATGCATTGACATCGCTAGCACTTGTGTTAGTGGAAGTGGCATTGTTGATTCGAGTGATGAGGAATTTTCCTTAGAGCTTGATTTTCCATGTCATTTTTCTTGTTAGTGTTTTGACTTCACATTGAATCTTGAAGGTGATTGAAGAAGAGTGTTAGTGCAATGTGGATATCCAA